GCTGGAGATACAGATGTGTGCAGCTCAGGTAGACAAGAGGGAGAGTATTGAATGAGAAGACCAAAAAGAGGATTAAAGACCGCTGGGGAACGTTGAGATATAATGATGGAGCTAGAAGTGTCAGGAATGTAGATTAAGAAGAAGCAAGGCAGAGACATAGAGGGAGGTCCAGAAGGGCAGCTCTGAGACGTGTTCCTCATCTCACTCATCCAAAGGGATGCTCACACATGCTTGCCCTCCAAGCTCTTTCCTCTTGTTAGGGGAAGGAAGAGATACCTGCCCCTTTTTTCTACCCTCAAGCATGATTGATTAAAGTTCAGAGTAGAAAACGTTCGATTGGATTGGCAGAAATCATAAAGATGTTTGGCTTCTTCCAACCTTCCCTTTAATGCCAGGCCCTTTACTTCTGGCCCCTACACTTCAGCTGTTGGCTCTCCTGGGTCCCACTCCTATGGGGCTAAGGAGACTATAGAACTCAGAGCTGAAAGGGACCTCATGGATCTTCTAAGTGAACACCCAACTCCCTTATATGAAAGGTCAGGACACCAAGCCTCAGAGAAGGCAATTCCAACAATTGCAATTTTAACTGAATGTAATTAAAATGCTTTCTCAAGATCTCTGCTCAGCAATACTGCTGCTCTACATTATTAGATGATGATGGCCTAAAGTGAAGACCTGCGCAGAAGTTGGAGTTGACATCTCACTAATACTCCAATCCTGCCAAACCCAAATTTAATGGTGGCAATCCGGACATCAGAATCAAATAATGCGAGAGAGACGAGGTCTGCCTCCAAACAAAAACACTGTTGAAGTCAAAATTGGGAAATACCAATAGGTATTTCCAATAGAAAATACAAAGAGGATGATATGATTTTCCAAGATCATTTTTAGAGGAAAATGGATCTGCAAAGTCTCTGCATGGGATGTTGAATAAGGAAAAGGAAAAACTACATGTGATTTTTGTGGTTTCCAAGATCCAAATAAAGGAGATTGTTCCATGAAGCATTGAAGACCTTTTTACTGATTTATCGAGAAAAACCAGACTGGGAAGTGATCCGAAAAGAGATGATAGCCTAAATTAACTAGTAGATTAACGTAATTAATTTTAGTCTATTCTAGAAATTAGCTCTTATGGCAGAAAGGGTAGTTTTCTACCCCACTTCTATTTTTGCTTTTCTCCTTAGAAGCAGAACCTTGGTTTTTAGCTGGATATATTCCCACACGGCCAAAAGAATCCATTTTCTAGGCTCCCAATGGTATAATACGTATAAATAGAAATGTAGTATTATTAACAGGAAGTAAAGTCTTAATTACAGGAAAAGTATCTATTCTTTTTTTTGAGATGGAGTTTCACTCTGTGATCCAGACTGGAGTGCAGTGGCTTGACCTTGGCTCACAGCGACCTCCGCCTGCCGGGTTCAAGCATTTTTTTTTCTTTTGTCATCCAGCTGCATTCAACATGGACATGGTGGCCCTAATTCTAGCAGCTATCTTGGACTGTGAAAATGAGGGCCACAAAGAAAATGCCCACACCAGCCCTGGACTTTTCACTTCTGAATTTCTGTTTCACAAGAGAGAAGTGACCTTCTATTGAGTTTTAGCCACATTGTTACATTAATGCATCTCAACTTAATCCTTACTGATTAATCTGTTTTCTTTTATTGGGTTTTCAACACTTATTAGAGCAAAAGTCATTGGTAAGAGTAATTTAAAGAATTGATCAAGAAGTTAATTACAAGTTTGTTACATAAAAAGGGTACCTTATATTTGTAGAGTGGTTTAAATTTCACAAAGCACTTCTTACCTTATTCTTAAAATATCTCTTTACTATCAAGGTGAATTATTTCAAATAGGACTTGTAAAAATAGCTAAAATAGGCCAGGCATGGTGGTTCACACCTGTAATCCCAGCACTTTGGAAGGCTGAGGCGGGTAGATCACAAGGTTGGGAGTTCAAGACCAGCCTGCCCAACATGGTGAAACCCTGTCTCCACTAAAAATACAAACATTAGCCAGGCATGATGCCACACACCTGTCATCCCAGCTACTCAGGAAGCTGAGACAGGAAAATTGCTTGAACCCAGGAGGCAGAGGTTGCAGTGAGCCGAGATCATGCAATTGCACTCCAGCCTGGGTGACAGAGTACTCTGTCTCAAAAAAAAAGGCAAAAATATAGCTAAGTGTAGTGGCTCATGCTTGTAATCCCAGGACTTTGAGAAACCAAGGTAAGAGATCACCTGAAGCCAGGAATTTGAGAACAGTCTGGGCAACGTAAGGAGACTCCATCTCTCCAAAAATAAAAAAAAAAATTAGTTTAGTGTGGAGGCATATGCCTGTAGTCCCACATACTTGAAAGGCTGATACAGGAGGATCACTTAAGCCCAGGAGTTTTTAAATGCAGTGAGCTTTGATTACACCACTGTACTTCAGCCTGGATGACAGATAGGGAGACCCAATCTCTTTTAAAAAAAGCTAAAATAGATATTCATGTTACCATGGTGATTTCTAGCTTAGCTATTTATTGTTTATGTCCTAGACAACATTGCTTAATTTCTAAGAGACTGGTTTTTTTCATCAGTCAATTATGGACAATGACTTCTTACATATATAGAATTAGAGCAAATGACAGAAGGCAATGCAACATATTGATTATAAATATGAATCCCGGCTGGGCACAGTGGCTCATGCCTGTAATCCCAGCACTTTGATAAGCTGAGGTGGGTGGATCACTTGAAGCCAGGAGTTCAAGACCAGCCTGGGCAACATGGTGAAACTTTATTTCTACAAAATATAAAAATGTTATCTGGGTGTGGTGGCATGCACTTGTAATCCCAGCTACGTGGGGGGCTAAAGTGGAAAGATAGCTTGAGCCTGGGAGGTGGAGGTTGTAGTGAGCTGAGATTGCACCACTAAACTCCAGCCTGGGCAAGAGAGTGAGATCTTGTCTCAAAGAAAAAAAGTATTAGTCCCAATTAACTCCCAAATTTGCTGTGTGACCTCAAGCAAATTAAGTTTCTGTGCCTTGATTTTCTAGTTGTTTAGTGGAGATCGTAATGCATATGTCACTTGAGGATTTTGTGAAGAGTCATTGAAAAAATGCACATGAAGTATTCATTAGAGTCCCTGACACACTGTAAGTGCTGAAGAAGCATTATTGTTTTTCCCAAACTGTCTAGTAAAGAACTTTGATATGTCAGGGTCACTCAACAGATGACATTGATCCTGCTGTACATCCTTTGTGACTTTTAGAAATCTCAGAAAAATTCAGAGATTGGAGTAAGTTCAATAGTCCTGAGAAGAAAAAGAGAGGCCCAAGGCCAGAGTTAGAGGAGGAAACCTGGCCACCTTCCACAAGCATCTTCTGAGCCATGGAGGAGGTCTTGGGTCCTGAGCCAGAAAAAGAATTTTGCACACTAGCTGACGAAAGACCGTTTTGCTCTATACCCTTTGTGGTCCCCAGAGCATGTCAGAGTCACAGACTCAGACTACTATTTGAGATTGAGTAAGCCTCCAAGATCATTCAGAGAATAATAAAGCCCCTGGGGGAGACTGCAGGCTAAGTGCACCAACCCTGACAGGTGATCAGGGCAGGTGGGGAAGGAAAGCACAGCCCCATGTGGACAGAAATAACACCATGAGAGTGAATGCAAGATGGGCTCCTGCATGGGCAAGAGACACTCAGAGAAGCTCATGCACATAACCATGGAGGCAAGGAGCCTGGGGCATCTGCTGACTCCAGTAGTGAAACCAGATCAAGGAAATGCCAGGAATGTAGACTGCATGCCTAACAATGCCAAGAAGCTTGTGGGAAAGGGTCTGCAGTGAGGCTACAAAAGCTATCCTGAATTCTCAGGGAGGCTACTGCCTAGAAGCCCCACACTATCCCCTACCAGTGAGATGACCTTAGGTAAGTCACTGAGTGCAAAGAATAGGCTTTTGCCCAAGCACAAGGCTTCGGAACTAGGTTCAGGCCTGAATCCAATTCACTAGCTCTGTTACCTTCATTTAGCAACTTACATAACACCCCCAAAGCCTCCATCTACTCATTCATAATATGGATATTGTAATACCTGTACCTACCTTATAGCATTGCTCTGGGGTAGCACTGATTCATAAAACTTTTGGAAATGGCACTAATGTCTTACACCTGCATAGTCCAGAAAAGTAGCCACTAGACACATGTAGCTATTGAGTCCTTGTAACATGATTAATGTAATTCACAGACTCAATTTTCTAATTTTATTTCATTTGAATCTATGTAATACATTTAAACTTAGCTATATGTGATTAGTGAGTATCTATCTTATTGGACAGCTCTAGAAACTAAATGAGGCCAGGCACAGTGGCTCATGCCTGTAATCCCAGCACTTTGGGAGGCTGAGGTGAGTGGATCACCTCAGGTCAGGAGTTCAAGATCAGCCTGGCCAACATGGTAAAATCCCACCTCTATTAAAAATACAAAAATTAACCAGGCATGGTGGCGGGTGTCTGTAGGAGGCTGAGGAGCTGCTGAGGAGGCTGAGGCAGGAGAATCACCTGAACCAGGAGGCAGAGGTTGCAGTGAGCTGAGATGGCACCACTGCACTCTACCTTGGGCCACAAGAGCAAAACTCTGAAAAAAGAAAAGGAAAGAAGGAAGGAAGGAAGAAAAGAAAGAAGGAAAGAAAGAAAATGAAAGAAAGAAAGAGAAAGAAAGGAGAGAAACTAAATGAGATAATGTCCTTTATCACTGTGCCTGGCATCAGGGCTCAAAAACTACTAGTGTTTCCATTAAACTTTAGCCTCAGTTTCCTCATCTGTGAGATGATCTTAAAGATATAATAGTATCTAAGACTAGGCCTGGCTGCTCACACCTATAATCCCACACTTCAGGAGGCTAAGGAGGGAAGACTGCTTGAGCCCAGGCCAACTCACTTATAGCAGATTTATTGTCCTTTTGTTGTTCAAGACCAGTCAGGGCCACACAGTGAGACCCTATCACTACTAAAAATAAAAAATTACCTGGGTGGGGTGGTGCATGCCTGTAGTCTCAGCTACTCGGGAGGCTGAGGTGGGAGGATTTCTTGAACCTGGAAGATTGAGGCCGCAGTGAGCATGTTAGCACTATTGTACTCCAGTCTGGACAACAGAGCAAGACACTGTCTCAGGAAAAAAAAAAAAAAAGAAAAGAAAAAAAATCTTATTCATGAGGTTGGTTGGGAAGATGAAATAAATATGGGAGAGAGAGCTAGCACAGTGATTGGCACATTATAGGTGCCTAGCAAATGTGAGTTGCTTTTCTCCTCTATTTAAACTTCTTTGGCACTAATGAAATCACTGTCTAATAATGCACAAGGCCAGTGAGAATCTATAGTGAGATTCTTGGCAAGCAATTGGATTGTTCAGTAGTCACGTGCACATCTCTAATGCTGGCTTTGGCTGGAAAACAAGTCTGCTTGAGCAAGCAAGAAAAAAAATATTGGCAGTGATATGTACACTACGAGAGTTCCACAAATATGCATTTGGCAGAAGCCTGATTGTCCAGACAGATCACAAACCACCAGGCAACGCACCTGCTAGACGACAGGGAATGTTATTACTGTTATAAAGATATGATTTATGAGTAATCTATACCCCAGGCAAAGACTCTCTTATGGCAGACCTATTGTCCAGACTAGTCATCATCTCTCCAACTGGGGAAATGACAGCACTGATGGAAGAGACAGCAGAGGAGACTATGGAATTAAGCAAAACACTTGACCCTTTGGTCCATGGGAGGCTGAGCCCCAAGACAGGAAAAGACGCTGTGTTGTAGCTACTTATCCAGATGTTGCACAATGGCTGGTGTGGCAGAAGAAAACAGAACAGCTGCAGGTGCGTTGGCCTCCAAAGGAGTGACTGTTTTAGCTTCTCACAGATAGGGGAATTTAAAGCAATGTCTTGTTTGAAAGAAGTCAGGAAAAGAGAAAAGACATGATCAGAGATAGTCTCAGGAGGAGCACTTTTGTTCATGCCCCTAAAATCATTCCCAGTAACTACTCACTGGTTCTCAAAGTTCCAGCTAGAGACTGGAGTTTTTCACTTAAGGATGCCCTGTCATGAGTAAACTGATACAAGATTTGCTGCCAAGTACAGGTTTTGACTCTTGGGCTGTGGTGCCTTCAAACCTTATAAGTTATTTACTAAGTTTTCAGATTCATCCTAAAAGATAAGGAAAGGAGGGGCAATAACCTAAGTATATGGAGTCATCAAAGTGATTTGTGTCATGGAGGGATGATATTTGCTATGGAGACAGTAGAAAGATATTAAAAAGGGAATGTTTCCTACCAGGGTTGTACTAAAGAAAACACATCTATTTCCTGGAAGATGATCAAAATGCTGTAATAGTAATACAAAAAGCATTCTGATGATAGAATTTGAATTCTCTCCTCCTCCATCACCATCACCACCACCACTATCACCATCATCGTCATCTACCTTGCACCAGTCTACTAGGTAACTGCTGGTGTGGAATTTATAATTATCATAGCAGATTCTCACTAACAGTGTAGGTATTGTTAGTCCCATTTTACAGATGAAGAAACTGAGGCTCAGAGGGTATAACTTAAATAAGTCAAAGTCATATAGCTAGTAAGTCACAGAGTCAGGATTCAAATCCAGATACCTTTGACATACGCCTGTGGGTCTTTCATTACCAAAGTGCCTCTCATAATTAAAAACAAAAACTATTTCTGTCTCTAGCACCCAGTTCTCTGTTTACAGTAGATGCCGTATCTAGCTAATGTGAGGAACTAAATTGTTAGTGTTATTCAGTGGTAATTGATTTAAATGGTCACATATGAACAGTGGCTACCTTATTCAGTGCAGTTCTGGGGGCCAAACAAGAGAATATCCTTTATCACTGTATCTAGCATCCAGCCTGAAACTGCTAGACCTTCATTCTGATGTCTAGAATTTGTTGAATACAAATTTGTTGAATGGTCCATACATTTACGGACCATTTCTTCCCAACCAACATGTTATTTTGATAACTAAATTGAGACCAGACAGTAATAGACAATAAGTTACTCTTGTTTTCGGGTTTTTCCTTCTCTCCTACTGTTTTACCTCTTCTTTCCATGTTTTCATCTTCCTTGTTTCTTATAGCTGCTGTAGTAGCTGTAAACTCTGTGGTGTTAAAGCAAAAAAAAAAAAAAAAATTCTGTAAAATAAAAAATATGGCATTAGGAAATGTATGAAAAACTATGTGATGATACACTAACCAAAATGCAAAACTGCAGATATTACACAGCTGTATTTGCATAGTGCCTGATGATTTGATACTTTTTCATACTTTATTTAGTAGTATTCACTAAATTCTCTGCATTCTCTACCTATCCCTAAATTCATCAACCTTTTTTTTTTTTAATATTTATTTAAATGGTCTCTTCCTGTATGTGTCTTTTATTATAGGCTACTTCAAATACCTAAAGTCAGATTCTAATTACTCCACACTAACCAAAATAAGTCAATGAACCTACAAATAAATGATTAACAGCCTCATTAAAGGAAAGGAGAAACATGAAGTTTGGATATTGGAAGCAATTCCTCTTGAACTGGCTTTGGTAGGCAGCACTAAAATAATATTTACTATGGAGAACAAATTACACAGATCAAGTCTGTATTGTCCCAATAGACGAACCAACACAGACAGAGAGAATTCAGAGTCAGCTTCATGCGGGAGGGATGACTCCTACTGACGTAGCTGCCCAAGCATCTGGATGGATTGGGGCCAGGGCTCCAGTGTCCCTGGAAGCTTGTCTGCCAGGAGGACAAAGCTGTGGCCCCAAACCTGAAAAAAAAAGTCACCCACAGTTTTCTTGTTAACTACTCAAGTTTCCCTACAAATTGACTGTTTCATAAAATGGTTTCGTGGTTTTGTTTTGTTTTAAGATTTACAAAGAGGAAGAAAATGCTCCTTTTAACAACTTCTCGGATTTCAGTTTTGCCCCTTTTTGTTACATTTCGGGTTATTCATTCCAAAACCTTGATTCTATTTCATGTCACTATCATGAGGGCTGAGTTCCTACATGCATTATTTCATTTGGTCCCTCAAAAACCTGTCAAAGCTGTATAATTGTTATATATTAATTAAATGAGAAAACTGAGATAAGAAGTGAACTAACTTGCATTTAGGTATTTAATTGAACATTCACCTGTCCTCATTGTATGCCAGGCAGTTAACTCACTGCTTGCCCATGTTACCTCCGGATCTACATAACCATCCTAAGAACTGGGTTTTATCCTCTTTATTTTAGAATCAGTTTCTAAAATTGAGGGGATTTAAATAGCATGCCTGCATTTATCAGTCATTGTAAGCTAGAATTCCAGAATTCATGGAACCTGTGTCTGTCTAACTCCAAAGGTCTTGGTCTATTTATGTTGACAGATATGATGTGGAAGAAATATTGTTAAATAATTTTTTATTCATTCCATCACTTAAATAAATATTGTGCCTAAAATTTCCTGCAGCAGAGGAATGGAGCTCCTCTCCCACTAACTAGCAACATTTTGATCTCAATTCTATGACAATCCTGATGTAACCAATTACTTCATTATAATTACTTCAAATTAGTTCAATATTTTAATAAACATTGGACATCTCATACCAATATAGAAACTCAGAATTAAATGGAGGCTAAGAACTGCCTTAGAATTCATTATTTGACACTGCAAAGCTCAAGTCATGCTAAATCAAGATTAGAACCAACTGTGCCATCCAGTGTGCTAAGAAGACCATCTAACTGGGTGATAAAGACCTGAAGATCACATGAACCTCTGAGAGTAACTGAATGCAGATAAAAAACGTAGACATGGCCAGGCGCGGTGGCTCAAGCCTGTAATCCCAGCACTTCGGGAGGCCAAGGCGGGTGGATCACTAGGTCAAGAGATCGAGACCATCCTGGTCAACAAGGTGAAACCCTGTCTCTACTAAAAATACAAAAATTAGCTGGGCATGGTGGCACGTGCCTGTAGTCCCAGCTACTCGGGAGGCTGAGGCAGTAGAATTGCTTGAACCCAGGAGGTGGAGGTTGCGGTGAGCTGAGATCGTGCCATTGCACTCCAGCCTGGGTAATAACAGCGAAACTCTCTCAAAACAAAAAACAAACAACAACAACAACAACAACAAAAAAACAAAAACAAAACTTAGACGCAGCCCTTTCTTCAAAGTAACAGGCATCTTTGCCCTTTTCCTGCCCTTCACTCTGCCCTCAGCCCCTCACCTTGGGGCCACTGTAGGATTCCTGGAGGTTGTGCTGCCCCAGTTTGGGCCCCCGGAGCTCTGGCACTGCCAGTCTATGGTGAAAACCTTCCTCTTAACCTATACTCTTCTGATCAAGAACTCCCAACAAATCCTTCAAGTAACACAACTCCTGTGGACACACTCCACCTTGTATGGAAAGGAAAAGGTACCCCATGGCCTTGGCCCTTGCTTGTAACAGAACATCTGTTATTTTGTCTGCTTTATGGTAGGGGACTCAGTGAGATTTAGCTTGAAAAAAAAAATCTGTCTGAAGGCCACCAGCCTCCTTTGTCATTTACAGGCACCTTCATTTGTCCCTGAGGCCATTTCTCAGAACCTTTTCCCACAGTTATTAGTTATGGCACACAGTAATAAGACTGATATTCTTTTGTGACTCGTGGGGATTATTTTTAGAATTCTGAGCTACATCTAACCATCTCCTATCACCCTCAGCCCAGAGGCTGTCTCCCTGGCATCAAGGCAAGTCCTTAATTGTCCAGAGGCTACCATGGTTTGCCCCGTGTCAGAGCCTTTGCTACATCAGAGTTTCCTCAACTTGTGAGTCTGCTGCCAAAATTCCAACCCCATCCTTCCTGTTCAAGAACCTACTTCCACTGTGTCTCTCAGTTCAAATTCCCTAAAAGAGTTAATTTGTGATTTTATATTCATTGCATTGGTAGGTCATAGGTCATGTGTCCACTCTGTTCCAATCATCTGTGGCCAGTGGGTAGCAATGTGCTATGATATGGCATTGAGGCTTGTCCCTTTAACAGGAGCAATGGGAAAAGAAAGTTTCCAGAGTAGAATGCCACTGACAAGGTAGACATTTAAGACAGTCTACTGTGAAACTGTTATACATTCAAGTTACCTGAGTACTTGTCCACCTCACTATTCTAAAAATGTAATTATTTTAGGGTTTATATTTTGCTTATGGTCTCACTCTTGGTACTGAGCAATAAGCTTGGAGTATGGCTATTCAATACATGTTTATAGGACAAATGAATAGATGAAGGAATAGCTATGAGAATATGTAGAGAGATGGACATAGCACTCATGAATGGATAGACAGAGTCTCTGTAGCACAGTGATGGAGCACATGAGCTCTAGAGCTGGACTGCATGGGTTCAAATCCTGGCTCTACTGCTCCCTTGGCAATTAGTTAACTTTTTAATTTTTTGGCTCAGTTACCACATCTTAAAACAGGAATAATAATACTGCTTTCCTCATAAGGCTTCTGTGGCAAGTAAAATGAGTTAATCCATAGAAAGCACATAGAATAGCACATGGCATACAGGGACTTCTCAACCAATTCTTTCTATTTCTGTTATTTTAACTACTATCATTGATGGGGGATGTCATAGGGCAGTATGCATAGGTAGAGGACAAACAAAATGTGACGAAATGGCTTATGAAAATCAGAAACAACCTTGAACTAATGACAAAGAGAAACAAGACAGAAAATTGTTCCCAATATCAGGGAAAATATAAAACCAAACCTGCAGCCTACTCATCAGAGGGAAAGAAAATGTTGGGGAAAAGGTCATGGGGGAAAGAGGATCTAGGCAGGCCAAGTGTGGTGACTCATGCCTGTAATCCCAGCACTTTGGGAGGCCAAAGTAGGAGGATCGCTTGAGTCCAGGAGTTCAAGACCAGCCTGGGCAGCATAGTGAGACCTCACTGCTACAAAAAAATAAAAACTTAGCTGGGTGTAGTGGTGCCTACCTGTAGTCCCAGCTACTTGGGAGGCCAAGGCAGGAAAATTACTTAAGCATGGGAGTTTGAGGCAGTAGTGAGCAGTGATTGTGTCACTCCACTTAGCTTGGAAAACAGAGCGAGACTCTGTCTCAAAGAAAAAATATAAAAAGGAAAGAAAGTAAGAAAGAAAGAGTACCTAGGCAGTATTTGTGTCCAAAGAGCTGGTAATTACTTCCTTGAACAGGGCAGTACAATGAAACCAATGTTGTTGCCTGTTACCATCAGTTCATCTGTTCCCCTGTGATGTTCATCAATATCTTTGAGGGAACTCTGAGTGTACTGTGTTTGTTAAATGCAGAGGATTGAGAATATAGGCCTAAGCAAGAGGACTTGGTTAGGAGAAGCTGCATTCCCACTATGGAGACTAGTTAGTGTCAATTTTGTGAGCTACAAAGGATGCTTTGTTGCCACGGCCACTGGACACAGTGGGCCCAGCTGGGGGAAATTTTGGGGACCTGAAGTCCAGAATGTACTCTGATTGCTGAGCCACGAGCCCCAGCACAGGCCTGAGTCGCCTGGAAGAAGGCGCCTCTTCACTAATTGGCTTGCCCAGAGGGGGCTCTTTCTGCAGGTCTCCCTCCCAGAGGGACCGTCTTTTTCTAATTAGCACAGAGGCCCCTGAGCGCTTCCAGCAGGCCCTATGCGTAGCCCTGGGAGGTTTTTAAACCAACTGCAAGATAAGTTGGTTTTCAGGAAGAGGAGAGATTAATGGGGCCACAGAAAGATGGATGGGAGCTTGGCGCTGCCTCTGCCTCCCCTCACACACTGTGGCTAGCAGTGAGGCCAAGGGGAATGACCCTGAGTAGAGTTACATATTTTTCACACCTCCTACTAAAACTCAGCAAATGCTTGACTTGCTGTTCCCAGCACAATTTTTCTTCCTGCAAAACGTGTTGGGATTATCACTTTTAGCCACATATGTGCTGGAAGTACTTTGTAGGAGCCCCAAGGACTGCAACTGTTCAAATCCCTATCTTTGAGAGGGAGCTTGGGGAAGCAGGGACCCAAAGTGGCTGTCTGAGAGCTCACCCATAGAGGGCTGGTTCCCACTAATTAAGTCCAGTTTCCAAGACTGAATCAAAGCTGCCATCCAAATGATTTTAAGAGTCAGGAGGTAAAATACAAGTTTCAACCCCAACACCTTCCCCTTATCCATCTTCTTG